ACCCAAACTCGAGCGTATTCGAATAGTCAACTATTCGAAGCGCTCGAGTTTTGGGTCTCGTTTTGAAAATATGATTCATTAAAAGATACGATACTTTATCAGTTCTGTTATACATCAATACTTGTTCATGTTATGTTTACTTATCATTGATCTTGGTACTCCGATAAAGTTCTAAAATAAAGTTATATCACCGACTTCAATGTAATTCTATGATACACAGATGCTTATAAACAACTCAAGTAATAATGTTATTTTCCCATAGCCTGGTAGATGTATTAGTGACTGAATCGTTGAAGTTGTTGATCTATAGTAGTTTTACTAGATTAGAAACAAAAACGTCTTGAAAAATCATAAGACTTATGCGACGTTCGGTGCTAAATTATTCATGGCAAATGTAATCGAACATTTGGGCCTAAAATTTTGATATAATCCAAAGCCAATTTATAGTTTAACCTACTTAATTGATTATACTGGCAAACTATAAACTATAATATCCAAGTACAACTTGGAAATTACTGAACTAATAAATGATGAAGATATGATGGTAATAACACTAAACGTTTTGACGTTTGAGTCTCAGATATTACATTTTCTGGAACGTAAAATTTCTAGTTATAAGATACTATCTAAAACAAACTATTATGACCTGATGAAACTGGAACATTTAGTGCTACTTCTAATGTAAAACTTCAAATATTTTCAACATAATTGATGCACAAAAACTGGAAAAGACACTATTTATAATGGTTTCATTTTGAGTTTACTTACTGATTAAGTATATTATATTACAAGTTACAGCTTTTTCAGTAAATAATATTTGTTTTTAGACAAGTCTCAATGGTAAAGAAAAGTTTAATATTTACATTAACATTCAACAATCTAATGTTGCTTTAAATACTAAAACGCTCTTTACCCGTTAAAACTTGTGTACTTGAGAATGATCGCTCCAGTGATCGGAACGTCGTAACCTGTTCTAAAAACCAATATTACTTTCTGTAAAAGCTGTAACTTGCAATATAATAGGATTAATAATACTTTATTTTTTAATTGGAGAATAATGATTATGTATCATTAGAACGTAAAATATGTTCGATCGGTAGTAGAACAAGCCCAGAAGTTTGCCTTATGAAGGTAAAAGCACATTAAGAGCATTAACTCCTCCTAGACGTTTAGACTGCCTTAGTTAATTGCATGTTAAAATTCTAGCAGCTAATCCCTATGCATTCAGTGCTGAAATTTTGCATACGCCTTTCTTAGCACCTGAGGATATGCCTTCTTTGTTGTGGCAGAGCTTTCTCCGACACACAGTTTTTCTTTCATTCATGCGCAAGTTGATGTCAGCTTCCAGTGAGATCAGTTTTCCGTCTAATTAACCCTAAAGATTGAATAGACCTACTGTTAGTCGCAAGACTAGGTAAATGAAAAGGTGTTTTTTAATACTGTGTCCAAATTCAGTTGTTACAATCAGTTATTCATTAAAACTGTACGTTACAAAATTGCTGATTCTAACTAAAATGTCTAATAAAAAGCTAATATTTTTTTCTCTATTGCTCTTACCTTCATTTTACATCACTAGTAGTAACAAATAAAGTAAAAACTTTTCAAAAAATGGAATAAATATAGGGATGGCTACTATCAATCCTTCAAAAACAATGCAAACATGATAGTAGGGATGGCATTTGCATCATTCCTACATAATAGCACAGGCAAGAATTTACATAAAGCAATATACATAACTCTTCAATCACAGTTGAGTTTAATTTATCCTATTTGTATTTGTTAACATTCTACTACACTGTGTGTCTATTCTACTATGTAGGGATGATGTAAATGCCATCCCTACTATCTTCTTTGTATTGCTTTTGAAGGACTGATGTTAGTCATCCCTACATTTACTTCCTTTTTTTGAAATATTTTTTCTTTACTTGTTTACATGTTGTTGTTGTTGTTGTTTTAATGCAGTGTTTCAATAGATATAGGAAAGTTATATTTATAACTGAGTTCTAAATACAATGAAATTCCAAGTGAAATATTCAATGTTTATCTATTATTGGCTGATAATTCCTGTTTCACCCTGTACTAAAGCCTTTTAAAGTAACAGCAAAAAATCTGTAAGAAACCTAACTTCAAGAGGTAATGATAACATCGTTTACACCAGAATTATGGTTTTTCTTAACTACTACTAGTTATTAATAATACTTATAAAAGTGGATACTTCGTTTGAAACTATGTCACCTCAGTGAAATTGGTTCACACCATTGATTTGGTTTTTGAGTTATCATGTAATAAAAAAGAAGCAGAAGAAAGAAAAACAAGAAATTCAAACTTTTTGTTATGATATTTACAGACATTCTCAGAACTTGTGACTCAGTCATTACATATATATATATTGTTATAAAAGGAAACACTGTATAGTAGTGTAAAGTTCTGATGACCTACTGAGGATATATTTAAAATACCTTTTCGATGAACACTTCGAGACATCACTACATGTGCAGTGCTACCGCCTGCCTGATACCCTTGAAAGTAGAGGTGTAAAAATATGACTTTCTTAAATATTTTTGAGTAACAATTAAGGCTTAGCTGATCTGATCACACTGCTAGTCAGAAAGATAAGGAAAGTATTTCACTCCCATTTGCATAACTTATATTTCCATCTAGTATTCTCAACAAACCAAATATTTTAAACTTAGAAACGTAAAAGAGTAAGTGGCAGATCGTAGAAGGAGTAATATTAGTAATAACGTAATGTTTTAAATATCAGTGTGGAATATGCAGTGCTAATACCACTTTTTTAAATGCGTGGAAGATGTTACATTATCAAAGCTTTATTTTTTTAATTTTAAGTGAGGAAATTTTAGTTTTATAACCTCACCCAAAGTGCTTGGTCACGAAGAATGTGAAATGTTTAGTAATTATCACACTTTGAAATATTTCACAGGTGTACCGCAGAAGTCGTTTCTCAGTTAACTCTACATATTTTAAGCTGAAAACGTAGAAGGTTCATTACTGGTAAAACTAAATGTTTTAAGCACAAGAACATGATTCAAATAAAGAAGGTGGAAGGCTTAGTGGCTAATTGTTTTAACCGAGGAAGGTGGAAGGTTTAGCAATTAATTGTTTTGACTGAATAACGTGGAAGGTTTAGCACTTGTTACACTAACGTGGAAGGTTTAGCAACTAGTTGTTTTAGCTGAAGAACGTGGAAGGTTTAGCAATTAGTTGATTCAAATGAAGAAGGTAGGAGGTTTAGTAACTAATTGTTTTAATTGAAGAACGTGGAGGGTTAAGCAACCAATTGTTTTAACCGAAGAAGATGGGAGGTTTAGCAACTAATTGTTTTAACTGAAGTACGTGGAAGGTTTAGCAATTAGTTGATTCAACTGAAGAAGATGGAAGGTTTAGTAACTAATTGTTTTAACCGAAGAACGTGGAACGTTTAGAATTAGTTGATTCAACTGAAGAATGTGGAAGGTTTAGCAAGTAAAACAACTATTTTAACTGAAGAAAGTGGAAGGTTTAGTACTGGTATCAATCAATACATACCATCCTGTTAAACCTGGAACGTTTAATGATACTAACAATCTTCTTCTAAATGGTAGTGAACTTACCTGTCTGGGCTCCAAACATGTGGTACCAGAAGGTAAAGCAGCTGTTGCTATTGTCTGCAGGATAAACTGGAGAATAAAGCCTAGCGGTGTCGTTTTCCTTGCGAGGTGCTGACGCCTCAATATACATATATCGACCTATTAGAAACAACATAATACCACCTTAAGCCAAAATATTTTAAGCATATTAATTGTTTTTAGGGCAAAATATTTGAAACAAATTAACAGTTTTTAGGGCAAAATATTTTCAAAACTAACTTTTTTCCACAAGAACAATTTACTGAGAAGTATAGTAGAATAATTTTGAATCACAATAAATATTTATCTACAATTAGAATAAAAAATATTTTTTATAAAATAGGGTAGTGAATTTTTGAGATGTTTTTACAGGCTTTCAAACGTGCTTTCAAAATATTTGTCTAAAATGTTTCCTAAACATACGTTCACATGAAAATCCCAGCATATCTAATGCCAACATTAAAACGTAACGTGTTTTAGGTGAACATATCATTTGGATTAAGCAATAATGATACGAACGAGTACACACTAAAGGTACAAGAAATAAACGCAGTTGTCATTTACGATAAGTTATAGCTTCATTACAATGATTTTCAGAAAATTACATACGTTCGCATGAAAATCCCAGTATATCTAATGCCAAAATTAAAACGTAACGTGTTTTAGGTGAACATATCATTTGGATTAAGCAATAATGATACGAACGAGTACATACTAAAGGTACAAGAAATAAACGCAGTTGTCATTTACGATAAGTTATAGCTTCATTACAGTGATTTTCAGAACATTTTATGTAAAAAAACGTGCTTATCATTCAGGGGGCAGTGTAAGGAGTACATTGCAAGTTCATAAAAGTTAGTTATTTTAACAATATATATCGTTACCAGCTATTCTATTCGTCATGTCAGTGTCCCCATGTAGTCAGTTGGACGTTTAACCCCCTCAGTTTAAAAATATAAAATAGTTCTGCCTCTTGCGTCGCAGCTTCATGTATCATGATTTGATTTGATTTTTCTTTGTTATATATTCCCTTAGTTCGATCCAAGTTCATTTTAAAACAAACGAATTTATTCTAACTTCGATAACATTCTCTTGGTGGTAGTCAATTTAGGTGGCAACGAATTAATAATAAGACGTTAAAATCAGATTGACTATTGGTAGCTCTTTCCTGATTGGAAATAAACGCTTCCACGACATTTTTAATACTTGAACATCGAGAAAAATCGTAACATATATTTTAAATAATTGTCTGTTTCATCATAAGTTCATTTTATTACTTATTTTGTGATTTAAAATCGCACATTTCTTCCGTTACTGAGTTTATCCTTTTTTTGGGTGCTTTATATACCATAAATATTCCACATCTGAAACATTTTGTACGTTACCATGATTATTCCTCAGCTGAAACATATTTTAAACTAGCACAGACATGCAAAACATTTGCGGCCAAATTAGTATCTTTATTGCAATAGTACTTCTTTAAATACATGATTTCTAAAGTTATACAAAACAGTTCTAATCGCAGACAGTAAAATCTATAATTCAACTTGTCTTAGTCCTAACGTTAGTTAAGACTTTATTAAGTACGGCCCATATCTGATGAAGAGATAAATTAACGCTGTAACTTGTGTGCGTTTTTTGCTTTAGTTAAGTTAGGGCTAAACCTTACCGCACTTAATACTATCAATAAATAATATTCTAATATTATTGTACGACCTAACTTTAGACATTTTTAAAAACTTTGATAAGCTAATAATATGTTGTATAAAATGTCTATTAAAGTGTATTTATGTCATTTGTGGCGTAACTCGACGATTTAACAAAGATACGTTTTCAAAATGTGAAAAAGGTGCAATTTTTGGTACATTTTAGTCCAAATATATCTTTAATTTTCGACCAATCGTAGACTAATTGACAGGAAGCCAAACTACTTAAATTACGTAATAAGTTGCTATGACATCAGTGCGCGACCAAGAGACAGACAGATTGACAGATACACACTGTGTTTTATTGTATTAAATTACCATGAGTACTCCTCGCCTAAAACATATTGTACATTACTCTGAGCCCTAAATTATTCCTCACTTCAACTATATTGTACATTATCATAAAGATTCCTTATATGTAAAATATATTAAAATACCACAAATATTCCTCACCTAAAACATATTGTACATTACCCTGAGCCCTAAATTATTCCTCACTTCAACTATATTGTACATTATCATAAATATTCCTTATATGTAAAATATATTAAAATACCACAAATATTCCTCACCTAAAACATATTGTACATTACCCTGAGCCCTAAATTATTCCTCACTTCAACTATATTGTACATTATCATAAATATTCCTTATATGTAAAATATATTAAAATACCACAAATATTCTTCACCTAAAACATATTGTACATTACCCTGAGCCCTAAATTATTCCTCACTTCAACCTTATTGTATATTATAATAAGTATTACTTATCTGAAAGATGTATTAAAATACCACAAATATTCCCCATCTTATGCATTTCGACACAATTCTTCAATGAAATTTATGTTGCTATCGATTGAGCACCTATTACATAAAGTGTGAATAAAAATGTAGGTTATTATTAAAAACACGTTTCCGCACAAACACTCTGGAGCAAGACATTATAAACAAATTAACAGATCATTAGGCTTAATAATTTTAAATCTAATCTAGAATATGTTGAGGCAGCTCTTAGCTTTTTGCAAACCATTATTAGAAGGAAGTGCCCTTAGTTACAATCCTATTATTATTCCAACATTACCAATAAATATCTATCATGCATCTAAATTATTTTTTTTACTTCTTGAAACATAATCAACTGGGTTTTAGTTTTACATAAATCCAAAAATATCCTAATTACAATATGCATTTTGCAATTTACTCCAAGTTGTTTTAATCACAAAAAAAGCTTTTCTCAGCTAGAAATTAATCATCCATAATTTCAACTATTAGTTCAGTATTGCTTCATTGAAACTTGCAATTAACTTATAATACCTGTGATAATAATGAGTTTAATCATGTCATTTGTGTCTTTATTTTCAATTTATCATCATACGTGTTCAACTAATTTTTGGTTATTTTCTTCTGTAACTTATAGACGTGATTACTTATCATCTTTACAAGTTATTTTCAACCACAGGGTTCCAAAAAGTCAAATATTTTCTTTATTAAAACGCACAACAATTGAGCAAACATGTTTTTAAGTTATAAAAAAATTTGTTTCTTTAATTTGATGTTTTCGAGAGAAGATTGTATATGTCAACTCCTTCGTGTTCAGCACCTGAAGGATCGTATAACACCTTTACGATACAGTATACGTGTATGTCAAATCCTTCGTGTTCAGCACCTGAAGGATCGTATAACACCTTTACGATACAGTATATGTGTTCGTACGAGATCCGACTTCTGAGAAACTCAGTAGATATTTATAGTCCTTTACCTGCTTTTCCTGGACCGAGTGTGTGGTCAAAAGATGGTCCAGTACCCACATGACCGGAAGGCGTACCAAACTGATGTTGCTTCCAGTCAAAATCATGCTGAGGGTCGTGTGTCCAGTCACATAAAGACGCGTCCTCGAAGTCGCAGAACAATGGAGAATTGTCCGAGGCCACTGAAAGGTAAGAAGAAATCAAGTTATTGGTCAGTTAATATGATTTGCCTGTTATAAACGTAGTCTACAACCAGAGTTAAGCTGGTTAAACACTACGAAAAACACTATTAAACACATACAGAATCAATAAAATAACATAACGACTGTTACGTCTATATATATATATAAGCATTGTTCCTCGACTTATCCAATCAAAACAGACTCTTTGTTCAGAACTAACTAAGAACCAGGTAATTTCTTACAAAATCTTGAGATGCATACAGCTAAGATATTTGGTAGGCCACGTGGCAATTGAGATAAGTCAGGTTATGGGGCTGAATATCTACTCTATACCAGATATAGGCAAAACAGTAACAATTGTTGTCATGTTTAAAAGCCTATACAATCACCTAAGTCTAGTTACTTTTTATTATTAATATCTTATTAGATACAGTTACTAATAAGTTTATTCCTATTGCTAATTTGCTGATGAGAATCCTAGCGACTGGAAACCTTTATAAAAAAAAAGATAAATAAACACGATCGAATCCCAGCTTCAGCCACCAAATATAATCCTTCTCAGAAGTTCCCTGAAGACTGCAACTGAAACTTAAGACATAAAGAATTTAGTATCTCATTAAGTAAGAACAATAGTAACAAATTTGTCATTATACTTAGGTGATTGTTAAGACTGCTAACTATGACAATGAGCGATATCCGACCGCCAGAACCTTTCCGAAAGTGCTTAAAATATTAAAGATTGCTGTTCTGTATATCGTGTATAAAAATTATGCTTGACGAGCTAATAAGGACTTTTCAAGTGTTTTCTACAGCAACTGGTATTGAGTGAGGTTCATAGCAAACATGTTGGGGGGTTTTTGTTGTTGTTGCTTTATTACTAGAAGAATTATATGTTGTCATATTTTAACTGTACAATTCCCTAAGAATATCATTTTATCATCATTCTTGTTTACTCTGATATCAGACTTGTTTCCAAAAGCAAGTAAGAAAACGAGTTCCATGTTTTTTGTGAATACAACTTTAACGTTTTATCAAAATTATAAAAAAAGCTAGATAACATTTGGTTTTTGTATAGGACTGTAAGGTAGCGTGATGTCTTTGTTGTAAGATGGTTTAAATCATTATGCACTAAGAATGAATAACTAAATTTTTCTACAAAAAGTAACAGATTAATAATCTCTGATTTTGTTGGTTGTTGGTGGAAATAACTAATTCGTGTTATCAGCAAAAACATGGGATGTGTTAGCGCTTAGAAACGATAACAGAAATGGGCTTGATAAAGCACTAAACTATCCAGAATCGATAAAAAGAAAATTCACTTTTCATTAATCTGATTATAGTTCTGCGTTATTGCAGCATTTCAAAAAAAAATGTAGAAAAAAATCCAAAACTTATATTGCTCTGTTCAATGTCTTAAAATATCTCAAAATATACCTTTTATCAGTCCTCCTTTCATATATGCTAGTGATCTGGAAGTTTATAAACTGAAGCGAATTTTTCAAAGCTAATTCACTGAAAAAAAAAATCTCGAAATCCTACCTGATTTTATTATAATCTTACTTACGAAGATTAAAATGCAGTTGGGTAGTCTCGCCTTTAACACTAGTTTTGGCTGCAAACCCAATAAGTGTCACTACTTTCATAAAAAGTAAAAACAAAACAAAAAGTTTTAAAATCTGAACAGCTAGTCTGTTTTCTTTCTCTCTTCTAGGCAGAGCTAAAATCTGAACAACTAAGTCTGTTCCCTATCTCCCTTATAGGTAGCGCTAAAATCTGAACAACTAAGTCTGTTCTCTTCCTCCCTTCTAGGTAACACTAAAATCTGAACAGCTAGTCTGCTCTCTTTCTTCCTTCTAGGTAACACTAACATCTGAACAGCTAGTCTGCTCTCTTTTTTCCTTATAGGTAAAACTAAAATCTGAACAGCTAGTCTGCTGTCTTTCTTCCTTCCAGATAGCACTAATTAGTTGAAACACTGGCACAAAGGAGGATCGGTGAGCATAAGTCTTTACAATTAATTCTGAAGTAGAATTATAAAAATGAATGGTAAAACAGTAAGCAATAACTAACTTCACGAATATGCCCAATATTCAAAATGGTTACGTGCTATTTGATGACCCACTTAATGTTTAGGCTATGGGAATACCTAAAACATGTTTTTATGTCTTTAATCCACTTGTTACGTTGATGAACTTAACAGAAGCCATTCGAGAACATGCAGCCATGTTCGATATTGGAAAACTTCATTCAGCTGTTTATCGCGTCATTCCAAAGATCAGAGATATCCTTGACATGGGTTGTTGCTACAATGAGCAAATATGGCGCCCTCTAGAGTCCATTACAAATAAGAACTAGTTCACGTTTCCCATGGTTTCATTGGTATGTCCACTAAGAATTATAATTATTGCGCCATAGTATAGTATAGTTTTCATTTTATTAATGTTCGAACACACCGAGAACCTCTATAAGATCCCTTGGTTTATATTTCTAGTTATAGTCTGCTTGTTCTTGTCCCAGTATACTTTCCAAAGTTATTATAAATATATGTAAATATTCTTTTAAAATACAAAACTAATAAAATTATGCATAAATGTAAAATAGGGTTTTTACTACGTAAATCATTGTTGCTAGAAGCCATATCTACCTTTGTAAAAAAATGTATGTTATTTTATTGAAGGCAGCTAGTCATCACCACCCACCGCCAACTCTTGGGCTACTCTTTTACCAACGAATAGTGGAATTGACCGTCACATTATAACGCCCCCACGGCTGAAAGGGCGAGCATGTTTGGTGTGAGGGGGATTCGAACCCGCGACCCTCTGATTGGGAGTCGAGCGCCCTAACCACCTGACCATGCCGGGCCCAATCAATAATGTTTTCTCATATCTCCGTTAGTCTTCCTAGAATGACGGTAATTGTATAATACATCAATTATTCAAATAACTAATTTTCGTCAGAGTGACCATTTTCTCATATTTGCACTGCTTTTCTAGCATTTTCGATTATTTTATCAGTTCGTAATATTTTCTCTTTTCTACTCAGGTAGTTGAATACTTGAGATAAAATTTTATATTTTTTTTTGTAACAAACAACCAAAGAAATTCTATAATTTCTTACATTTCTGTAATCGTTTTCTAACTATATTAATCTTAATAGAAATACAAGTACATACTCAGACTCAATTAAACTTTCAAATACAAGTTTTCATATATGTTATTTCCCCGAAAGGGTGCCTAAAACCGCCTGGAGGGGTCACCTGTTTTAACCACTGGCACCACTATACGCTAGTTTATTGTCTGTCAGTCAGTAAGTATACACTAAAATGACATCACATACGGGACGCTTAACGTTGCAATTTGTACTTTCGTGGCGTCAGTAAAAGGTGCGCATGCCATGAATCATGAGAAGAATTATGCACTCTGTAGGCTACAACACAACATGACATGTGAACTTCAAGGGCAAGAAATCAAAATATCTGTTACTCTTAATTTTGGGGCCCGGCACGGCCAGGTGATTAGGGCACTCGAGTCGCAATCTGCGGGTCGCGGGTTCGAATCCCCGTCACACCAAACATGATCGTCCTTTCAACCGTGGGGGCGTTATAATGTGACGGTCAATCCCATTATTCGTTGGCAAAAGAGTAGCCCAAGAGTTAGCGGTGGGTGGTGATGACTAGCTGCCTTCTCTCTAGTCTTACACTTCTAAATTAGGGACGGCTAGCGCAGATAGCCCTCGTGTAGCTTTGCGCGAAATTCAAAAACAAACGAACTTAATTTTGGTTTTATTTTCTCTTGAAACAGAACACTTTCGGAAACTCTGCAGAAGTATGTCTAGCCTAATATTGTAATGCTCTATTTTTTGAGCACAATATAACATAATTGGTAACACTCTCAAACTACAGAACATCCAGATCCAAAGGATGTGACAAACATGTACCTAATTTCTATGGATGTGGTAAATATATTTTTTTAATGTTAATCAAAATCAGTATTCAGTTTCGTGGAACAAATCGTCTTGAACAGTTTTACATACAAATAATTTAAAGACAACAAGGGACTTGTTGGTCTACCTAGGCCATTCCATCCACAAAACTAATCTTTAAAATGAGTGTAAAACACTCAAGACCAGCCTTTATCATTCAAATATTTATTAAGGCTTCCCTTAAACTAACTGCATCCAATACACACGAAGGCATTCCATTCCAAAAGCCAGTTATCCTGTTATGAAAATAAAGCTGTCTCAGCTGAAGACTTCTACCCTGCCATAATTTATATTTGTGTCTCCTAAGTCCTACCATTCTCACCATTAAGTACGAAAAAAAAGATGATGCATCAACACTATGGATTCCCTTAACAATCTTAAATTTCTTAGTCAGATCACCTCTAACTCTTCCCTTTTCAAGAGAAAACAGTTTCATATATCTAAACTCGCCTCCTATGATAATCTTTTCATCCCAAGTGAATCGTAATTTGTTTCAGACTGAGCAATTCAAATTCGAAACGAGACAGAAATAATTGTATCAACCGTTGGTATATATTTTTTTTAAAAAAAAGAGAGAGATTATGAATAAAACCAGTAAATAGCATATCGTTTTGGAAACTATTGTACAGTAGGAAAGTATATAGAACAATATATTTTTTAACAAACATTTATCAATTCCTTAATAAATGTGTTTACTGTTATCTTAACATCAGTGCGTAGAGTTTGTCTTATATTTATTTTACGTTTGTTCCCTTGTTATTAATCTATGTTAATGTTGGTTCTGGTACATTTAAACTTTAGGTTCAAGAAAATCAATACTACATTGTGGAAATCGGTTACTGTTGTGAAGCTGTGAATGTACGTATGAAGCAATTGATTGTATTTTTTTCAACGTGAATAAATTCGTTGAGAAACAGTTCTCAGGATTTTTTAAACTACTTTCTAATAGAATGAATTAGACACTAATACGCTATAGAGTTAAAGTTGAGATTCATAAAAATGTAGTAGCCAGAGAAACATACAACTGTTCCTGAGCACTCAAGTATGAACTTGACCCACATTACCAGAACATTAATATCTACATATATATTTAAAGAGTTAGCAGTCAAAGAGATATATTGATGTTCTTGAGTACTTAAGTATGAACTTGACCTCCATTACCAAAACATTAATATCTAAATATCTATTTAAGAGTTAGCAGTCAAAGAGATATATTGATTTTCTTGAGTACTTAAGTATGAACTTGACCCACATTATCAGACACAATGATATTTCCCTAAAAAAAACTATTTAATGACAGTCATTATATAATTATTTCGAAATATGGTTACAACTTTAAACACGTTTAGAGCAGTATGAACCTTCTTGTTCTTTGCCTAGACAATTGTCACATGTTATAACCACGTTAAAAGCCTAAACTGGCGAAACATAAAACCTGAACAAAATATAGAATTGAAAACCTCTTTTTTTCACACAACTCTGATTTACATTGTGTACTGACTAAAACTACTGAAAGGAAATGATAATTTAAATTTTGATCAATTTTCACCTTAGTTTCTATTGCTATATTTGTTTAAATTCTCCTACGAATATAGATGTATTTTCCATTTAAAAAAATATTTGTAAATATTGGACTTAATGTCTAAAAGTACTTGTTTTCTATGTAGTTCTTGAGATTTCCTTCACATTTAAGGTGCGTGCATTCCTATTTTTAAATAATGACTGTACTTGACCAGTGAGGACTTCCGGGAAATGCTGCAGCTCGCGGTATGACCATAGTTACAGGACATGAGATAAATGAGCAGGAAGTTTCCATGGTTCTGAAAGCATGATCTGAAGGTTTTTTTCCTATCATTCTTACAGTATAGGGAAGGAGGCTGTAATAACCATTCCTAAAAATTGTATGGAAGACTTCAGGATTCATATAATTCCTTCAAAACAGATCTACAGTAGCCTTAGGAAATTCCATAACTGCAATATAACAATCACCCTACTTATGATCTTCTCGATTTACAAAAAAATAAAGCAAAGCATTCTCTTCCTTACTATAAAAATGTGTTTGTGTAAAACTTCATGTCTAACATACTTATGAATGGTTTTAGTTACAGAAGATATTCTACTGTCAATGCAATGCGTTATCTCCACGTTTTGTCTTCATGTCTAACATACTTATGAATAGTTTTAGTTACAGAAAATATTCTATTGTCAATGCAATGCATTATCTCCAGAAAAAAAATATATGATTAAGAAAAATTAAAGAAATTTATAAAATAGATATTATAATTTGAGTATATCTAGTTCGTAAGCTTAGATCAATGTTTTATAAGAAACTAAGACTTGCCTTCAACATACGCACTATGTTATCAAAAGTACGATAACGATTATCTCAAACTAACAAATGCTCACATACAATGTTTTATCATGTGAAATCTATTGTATAGTCTATACAGAGCTTATATTTTTTTAGCAGGTGGCAGATGAAGTCGAGATGTCTTGAGGAAAGGGGCTCATGGGCCTTCAAAGAGGAATGATTACGGGATGCAGTATTGGTTATATCAATGTCGGGGACATTTCAGCTCGCCAATCATGCCCAAATTACTGTGTGGACAATATGCTGAAGAAATTTTAAAAACCGAAAAACTTACTAGTGTGAAACATTGGCCTGGCCAACTAAATTTAATCATATTTTGATCCATTGAAACTCTGAAATGTGTTTTGAAACAAAATGGCATATAATTCATCATGCACAACATTAATGAGAGCGGAAACAGCACTGTGCAAATAGATTTTATGGACGGGCTGCAACCCATAAGCCTTTCATTACAGAGCGAATGCACAATGTCAGTTCTCACGATGCCTTTAGTGTTGAAATTTAGGTGAAATAAATTGGAAAGGCATTTCTAGAGCGTTGAAAACCACTACTTTACTGTTTGCTTGAGATTGACGGGTTGGGTTTCGATTAAAGCCTGAAAAACTCTTTTGATAATTACTATTGTGCTAAAGTAGGTGGGAGAGTATCAAGGTGTGTTTCAGGTTTAGATGGTTTAAACTTAATCCTTGTTCCAAAGTAGGTGGGAAAGTATCAGAGTGTAGGTCAGGTTTAGATGGTTTAAACTTAATCCTTTTTCCAAAGTAGATGTGAAAATTTCAGAGTGTAGGCCAGGTTTAGATGGTTTAAACTTAATCCTTGTGCTAAAGTAGGCGAGAAAGTATCAGGGTGTAGGCCAGGTTTAGATGGCTTAAACTTAATTCCATAGTCATAGTAACTAGAAACATAAATGTCTTGATGTTAACTGGTATTAGTAGTCCATTGGGGCGCCCCCAAGGGAGCACTCGAAGAACCGGCAGGGGGCGCGCAACTATGACTATGGGATAAATACCAAAAGTTGTTAAAATTTTACCACCTATGAAAATTCTAATAAACTCAATGTATAGATCTAACGGTTCTGGAACAAACTGTTAAGCCTAGTTAATAACTATATTGTTTAATCAGCAAAGTTGTCTTCACTCTCAGAATTTTCATTTCTTTAAGCTAAATATTTTAATGAAGGCGAGTCTTTCAAATAAAGAGTTTGAAAATCGATGCAGGAACTGGTATATAATGTTGCTAATATGTAAGATTAATGCTGTTGGATTTCCAAAAATTCTGGATTTAAGCTGATATTTTGGAAAAAAAAACGTTTATATGATGAAATCGATAATAGTAATCTGTGCAGCAGATTCACCAAATGCTTGAAGAGCGTAAAAGCGTGCTTCTTTATCTTCCACGACGTCAAGCCTAATATGAAGTATGAGCGAGTACACGTGCAAGTTACAAGACAAACACATTACTTAGTATGTGACATGTCACTGCATAAGTGATTATTCTTCTTGAACAAAATAATTACTTAATTTTCAAAGCAGGAATTATCAATTAACAACAAACCTTTTACCTCGTGTTGTCTCTTTATACTTAGATTAATCCTTCTTTTATTTTTTATTTTTAAAAAGGTTAAAAAAATCTACTAATTGATTTTTTTTTGTTATTGAAAATGAATCTCAGAAAAGAGTTTATTGTAAGTGAAATAGCAAAATAATGTTGATATAAAACACTAAACGTTGGTGATTATATATGATGATAAACCAACTTTGACTGCCAGTAAAAGATCTGCAGGATATGACTAGTGATAGACAATTCGTATACGATACATATAAACAAACACGCTGGTTGGTAACGTAGGGTCTATAGAAAGTGATTGTATATGTATGATATATATAAGCAAAGAATAATTATAGACAATTTTCCACTACGACGAATGATAGTTGATAGTTTACGGAAGACGATTGTAACAAACGACCTCAAGCAAATGGTAAATAACTGGTAATGAGCGATCAATGGACAATGATTGGTGATCGAAGGCATGTAGACAAAACCTGTTAATTGAGGATTTATGTAAAATGTTTGAATACAGAAGATTTTTGATAAATGAGCGAGAAATAGATGATGTACGGAAAGTGGTTGATAATGAAGGATTTACAGACAAGATCTGGTATTGAAAGATCTGCATCCAGTGACAGGTGGTGAATATTATATATGTAATGACTGTTGGTGGTCAATATACACATTATAAGAAATACTGAAAGGTCTATAATGACTGTTTATAACTGATCGACTGATAATAACTGATCAATAATTAGTGAATGATGATTACTGTCATTGAAAAGATGGAAAAGAATCAGTTGTATATAATAATCAACTGAGTAAGAAACTTAAAACAATACTAGAAACTCAGACTTTGTTTATGTATATATATATATATATATATAATTTTAGAAAAGCTGAACGAAAAATTCTGATAACTGTAAACATTCTACAGTGCCGTACACTAAAACAAAAGTGTGAAATCACATTTGTATTAATGTGAAGCGCGGCTACAAGACCTACACTCTTCATAAGAACGTATTACCTATTTTTGACCTTTTATCTCCCTAAAAAAAGAATGAAAACTCACCCCTATAACTTACACCATAATATTCTAATGTTGAAACAAAACCTAATCACACCTTTTGTTCTTAGAGCATTGTTTAAATTAATACTGATGCTTTTATGTTTTTATTCATTAAAGATATATATACATATTACGCCTTAAGCAAGCGAGAAATATTGAAAACGTCTAGCCAGTAAACTTAGGGAAACTACTTACCAACACATAAAGGTACAGTGTCATTCCACTGGGATCCATCACAATAAAGGCTGAGCGATCCATCAACACGATAACCTGGATTACAATCAAACTTCGTCAATGCTCCTCCGTATAGTTCTAGAATTTGGCCATTAGGTGGCGCATCCAAGTCCTCACATCCTGCCCCTGAGGGAAACAAATATTCTTAATTTTTGTCAAATGTACAAATGTGTTTCAGAAATGCAAGTTTGAGTTATAAAACTACAAAAACTCTCACTTAGGATCCAATTTATCATCTAATCCAAATTTATTTATTAGCAACTAAATCATATTGTTTTTGCAGTAACTACATAATTACTACCGTTGCTGCACATTAAAAATTCAGTGTACTAACGTTTAAGTTCTATGATAACAGCTAATGGAAATAATGAAAACATTTACGCCCTTCAGTGGCACAGCGGTATATCTGCGGACTTACAACGCTAGAATCCGGGTTTCGATACCCGTGGTGGGCAAAGCCCAGATAGCCCATTGTATAGCTTTGTGCTTTATTACAAACAAACAAACGAAAACATTTAAGTTGGTAAAAATCTACTTTTTTTGCAAAAGACATTTTAAAAACACATTTTTGAATTCGTTTTGTAGTTACATTGTGTTACATCGGATTTTATAAATACAAATTAAGCTCAAAAATTACCAATGTGGTTAAAAATATGCAAGAAAAAGAAAAAAGCAAACAAGTAAAGAGCATGTAGAATCAAAGTTGTTCCTATCATAGAGGGCAGCACTGTTCTACTGTATTGGTTTGGTTTGAATTTCGCACAAAGCTACTCGAGGGCTCTCTGAGCTAGCCGTCCCTAATTTATCAGTGATAAACAAGAGGGAAAGCAGCTAGTCAACACCACCCAACGCCAACTCTTGGGCTACTCTTTTATCAGCGAATATTGGGATTAACCGTCACATTATAATGTCCACACAGCTGAAAGGGCAAGCATGTTTGGTGACGGGGATTCGAACCCCAATTCATAGATTGAGAGTCGAGCGCCCTAACCACCAGGCCATTCTACTGTAAGACAATCAGATATTCCCCATGTTCAGCGTTATTGTTATACGAACTCAATGCTTTTTAAACCTGAACGAAGGTGTAAGATTGACAGGTATATTCATATAACAATACATAAAATGTATCTTGTTCATCATGCCCTAAAGATCAAGTTCGAACGGCTTATACTGCTGGTGGTAGAAAAGATAACAACGTTCTCAAAATCAATGTAGAAAAAAAAAACATAATTTGAAGATCTTTTTAGCATTCAATGTGATTTTGCCAATACCTTTTGAAATATGACAAAAAGTGTGAGTTTCATAGGAAAAAAAACAGCAAATTTATTTCAAAGTAGTAAGTTACCTCAATTTATTGATTTGTGAACTGCACAACCGAGAAAAAAACAGAATTTATATTGGTTAAAATAGTACTTGCGGATTGTTAATGGTATAGTATTAAGAAATAAACGTTCAATATTATTTTGAAGTGTTGTGTTACACAGTATTGATACATGACATATATCTAGATGGCCTATATTAGAGATGGATAATTGCTTTCTTTCACACATAGCCATATTATCTTCTGTACAGGGCCCGTCTCAAAGCCTACAAAGAATATGCAAGCAATATAAAACCACAATAGTTCAGAATCCCCATTACAATACGATCGTAATTGGTGCATAACAAACCTCTTACAGAACCAACTTAGAGGAGGAAACATCATTTAGAACATCCCTCATGAGAGTGTACTCACTACATTGCAGAAACGAAAAAAAAACAATAAAAGTCAGAATTCAGGAGAATAATAGGCATACAAGAGTTTGTAATCCTGATTTCTCTCTGAAAATTAAATAATACAAAAAATTATGAAAATATGAAGTTATGAAATATGAACCTCACACGAGCGAACTGGAGATAAAAGAAGGCTTCTACTTCCACCCAATTGATAACACAGTTAATCTAGTATGGAAGTCAGCAAACCTTTACACCCCTTTTAAAACCATTCAAATAGTTAGATGATTAGTGTGGAGACCCCGGTGTAGCGGATAACACCAAGTCGTCCTTTATGACAAAATACCCCCGGTCGAATCCTCGTCTACTACAACCACAAACAACCTTTTTCAGGACTTCCCTGAAGACGACAGTTGATACGTAGGATATCACCTGATAATATAAAAAAATAAATGATTTATAATTTGACTTATAGGATTGTTTAAGCCACTAAATGTAACAACTGATGATTAGTGTTTTGCTTTTTCTTAGCATCACGTGTACTAAAACGTTAAGATTTAATCTAGTTCAACAAGATAGTGCTGAGAATTCGATGACGAGGAACCCACTTTGAGACTAATAATGCTTGGAGACGGCTTGAATGGGTAATGAAGAAAAACTTTAATATAAGTCTAACATATCCGAAAATGACAAAACCTTGTCGAAACGTTGTTCATTTTCTGTTATGTTAAACTTATATTAAAG